TTTGTGTATCCATTTGCAGACCAAGCAAGAGAGCAACAACCTTCAAATCACCACAAAGCTGCCACTGATGTTGGTCGTAGTTTATGCACTTCAAAAGTTGTTTCATGTTGTCATAGGTTTCCTTCATATGGACTGCATGACCAACTGGAATTGATGGCAAAACATTGCCATTAGGCAGTAAAACAGCTTTAAGACTCGTCTTGGATGAATCAATGAACAGTCTCCACTCATCTGGATCGTGAACGATGTTGAGGGCTGCCATTACACCGTCGATGTTGTTGCAGGCTATAAGATCACCTTCCATGAAGAAGAATGGGACAAGATCCTTTTGACGGTCACGGAACATTGAAACCCTAACATCACCTGCCAGGAGATTCCACTGCTGTAGTCTGGAGCCCAACAGCTCTGCCTTACTCTTGGGTAGTTCCAAATCCCTGACAAAGTCATTCAGTTCACCTTGTGTTATGAGGTGTGGTTCAGAGAAGGAGGATGGGAGAAAATGTGGGTCCTGTGACATTGATGGTTCAGGACCAGAAGTTTCATCCTCTTTCTCTTCCTCGTCTGACTCAAGTGAGAATGATTCTTCTTTGACACACCTTTCCCAACTGGAGGCACCATGCAGAAGTAACAATTGCTGGTATGATCTGTTGGCTCTCTCCAAATCATTGGCACTGCAAAAGGCATAGCTTTCCTTTTCCTGTTCAACCACTGGCGAAGATTTGTTGCACAAGTGTTGCACCATATGTGTGGGGCCCACCTCTTGTCCTGATCTCCAGTTTTGCAGCCAAAATAAAGGTGATAGGCTTTCTTAACCATAGTGGTAAGATACATTATAAAGGGTATGCTGAGCATGTAATCTGACATCCACTGCTATGGTATTAAGGCATGGTATTATAACTGTGCTGCATGAAAGCAGTTTGAATACACAGAGACCTTTAGGAACATATGTTTATATTGTGTAAATCCATGCAGAGATACCTTAGAAATGCTCCTATCAGAGCACTCTCACAGAATGTGTTCTTAGTGCTATGACTTCATATTGGAAATAGTGTAGGATTTGTGTGTTTTGTATGGACATGAAAGATGGTGATTAATGGTTGATTAAACCAAGAGCATCTGATGTGTCACCACTGTAAACTAATATGGGACAACTGATGTGCAACTCCAAATGTCAAAGATGGTAAGAACTTTTTCTGTGTAAAGAATTAAGTATGTTGTTTTGTTTAATAGGCATTAGATTATAGTAAAGTTACTGATGTGTAGCTGGTTGCATATAGAAAGTTGTCTAATACTAGGAATGTTCTTATTGAGCTGTCTTCTAAACACAATACTTGATCACATGCCCTTTGGTTAATGCCAAGGTATTGTGGATGATGCCGTGTTTAGCTTAACCAAAAAATTGAGCGCTGGTCTTCTTATGCTAAAAATACATTTAACACTCTGTGGGGGCAGTTCACTTTTAACTATAAACCAAATTTTATATTTAATCCAGGTATTCTTTGCTTTTTAAGTAAGTGGCAATCACAAAACTTCTTTATCCACCTTTCAGAAAAGGCGACGGCGGATCGACCGAAGTATGATTGGAGAGCCAACAAACTTTGTTCACACAGCTCATGTAGGATCAGGAGACTTATTCAGTGGAATGAATTCGGTAAGTGTGTATGAATGAAGAAAACCCTGTATCATCTTAGACTGCATCCATACAAATACTAGAACAAAGACCAGAGAAATTATAGTTAGAAGACTGATTCACCACTGTTACACCTGTTTTACTATTGATTTCAATGGAGTTACATCATTGTAAAACTGGAGAATAACACAGTGCTTAAAACATTCTTAAAAATATTCTTAAAACATGCTTAAAATACTCTAAATCAGAGTGTAAAACTAGTAAATTTTTAATGTTCTGTTTACTGATATTATCATCTAGCAATTTTTGGTGCCATATAAATTACAAGGTAGTCACTGAGTAAGCCTCTTTTTCTTTCCTAATGGAAATGAGCCATTTGTGTATTCACATAAGCTCGTATTGCAAAATAGGCTAGGAAGAACTAGAAAAAGACTGTCCTTAAGTCCAACAGACAATGCATATATAAAAAATGGATAAAAATGTTTCCATAGTATTTTGCATTTTTGGTATTTCTCTTCATTAGTTTATTGATCTTTCATACAAATGTTATCAGTCTTGTTGTTTTATTAAGAATTGACATTTTTCCACCTGAAGCTATAATCCTATTTGTGACATTAGTTATTCTCACAGCAAACTGTTGTGATGTCACAAGCAAAGACTTGCAGCTTCCTACAGAGGAAAAGCATAACAACAATGAATATATGTACTACCAAGAGACAAAGTGCTTGTTTTCGTGCACACGTCCTTGAAAACAGAGAACAAAGATGGAGAAATGTGTTGAGAATGATTATATAAAGGCAGACGTCTATAAAGAATATTATTTCAGTGTTTTCTGTGAAATGTTAACCAATCTTTAAGATCTGATTCACCTCATTAAAGTTTTAATGCAAGGCAAGGGAGGTGTACTCACAGAAAGATACCTTTATGTCCTTTGAAATTTGATATATTTATATGCCTCTAATGGTACACTTAAAAGGAAAGAGATTTGATTGGGAACAGTGAGTTTTAGTGAACAGGGAGGGAGGACTCTAGGGCAGGAGTATAGGAATTCAAGGCATGTGGGAATCTTTGAGCAGAGCTATGGAAATCAATCACTTTCAGTTGTTAGGTAAGCAAAAGATGACATTTGTAGCTTCCTGGAAAGGAAGCAGCTTGTTTGCCTTCCCAGCTGTAGTAGAGGCACTTGATAGCAGTTGGGGGAAGGGCAAAAGGAGATGGTTTGACATTGCAAACAAAATATCAAGGCTTCTTGAAACAATGTATTGGCTAGGGCACAATTTTAATAAAACAGTTGTACGCATACCATTATAAATAGATGTATAGCTTGATAAATATATAATTAGCTTTTACTGCATTTTAATGCAGTGTTTTTAGTTTCATTAAAAACAGTTTCTCTGCCTGCTCATTAGAAATGTACGTTTTCTCTTTAATTTCAATTTATAATTCTTTTGAAGGATTAAGAACCTTTGAATCAGTATTTAGTTGTTCCATCTCCTTTAGGATGCTTTTCTTTTCCCACAGCCACCAACCAGAAGGTTATGATGGCATGGGACTCCTTTTTCTTCCTGTCACTTTCAGCCCTCATCCCTCTTTCTTACAGACTTTAGACTTGTAGACTTTAAGGCCAGAAGGGACCATCATGATCATCTATTCTGACCTCCTGCACATCACACGCCACAGAAGCTCACCCACCCACTCTGGCTGAGTTACTGAAATCTTCAAATCTTGATTTAAAGACTTCTTACAAAGAATCCACTATTTACTGTAGTTCATACCAGCACGTGGCCCATGCCCTATGCTGCAGAGGAAGGTGAAAACTTCCCAGGGTCTCTGCCAATCTGACCTGGGGGGGAAATTCCTTCCTGACCCCAAATATGGTGATCAATTGGACCCTGAACATTTGGACAAGACCTACCAGCCGGATGCCTGGGGAAAAATTTCTGCAGTAAGTCAGAGCCCTCCCCATCTAGTGTCCCATCACTGGAGACCTTTGGTTATAGTAGTTGCAGATGGCCATATGCCCTTGTTGGCAATCTCATCATGACATCCCCTCCATAAACTTATCAAGCCCAGTCGTAAAACAACTTAGGTTTTTTGCCCCCACTGCTCCCCTTGGAAGGCAGTTCCAGAACTTTATTCTTCTAATGATTAGAAACCTTCATCTAATTTCAAGCCTAAACTTATTGATGGCCAGTTTATATCCTTTTGGTTTTGTGCCAACATTGGCCCTTAACTTAAATAACTCCTCTCCCTTCCTGGTGTTTATCTCTCTGATGTATTTATAGAGAGCCATTATATCTCCCCCTCAGCCTTTGTTTTTGTTAGGCTAAACAAGCCAGGCTCCTTAAGTCTCCTCTTGCTATGTAGGTTCTCCATTTCTCTGTTCATCCTAGTAGTCCTCTGAACCTGTTCCAGTTTGAATTCATCTATTTTAAACATGGGAGACCAGAATTGCACTCAGCTCTCCAGATGAGGAAAGACTACAAAGACCCTTTCTCTATTTCTTCATCTTTAAACTACATATGATACAGCTCTTCTTTCTCTCCAGATGGTCATTATTTACTACCTCTTAACCTGCTTCTGCCTTCGTCTTGAACATTGACTGGTTGTCCTTCTTTCTATCTCCCCAGTCTCCTTCCTTTATTTTGAGTAAAGTCATATCTGTGATCTATATGATTCATCTGCCTCTTCTCTCCTCTGGTCCCTAGGTCAGGATGGCCTCGCCCACTCAGCTTTGGTCTTCCCCCCCCCCCCACTCTCGCCTTTGAGAAACACTGATTTCTCCATTCTTGATTCACCTATTTATATTTGACATTGCCCATTCTTCTCTCTCTTGCTCAGCCGCTCACTCCTTCTGTAATATTCAGTTCTCTGGCCTCTGACTTCTTTCTCCTCCCAGCCCTCTTCTCCTTTTCTTACCCATCCTCCACAGAGTATATTACAAGGTCACAACTATATATCCACCCTATCTGCCACACTTAATACTCTGCCCATTGCACCAACTATTCATCTAACTTTCCTGCGCTTACCTTTGCTGTTGCTTTTGTTCTGCTTAACAACTTTGAAGGAATTCCTGTTACCTCATCATATAAGTTCCTTTCTTCATTCAGCTGTCCCCCATGCCTGCCCAGCAATACTTATCCATTCCTACATTTCCAGTACTTGGCAACTCTTTGTCACTTTAGGGCATGTCTGCACTGCCCCACAGTTTGAACTACATGGGTGTGAATGACGGTACACAACAAAGTGCTGTGCTGTAGCTCCCTTGTGTGGATGCTGCAGGCGTGAACTTGTTGTATAGTAGTACAAATTAGGGACTTTTACATTCACACCATTCACATCCCCATAGTACAAACTGTGGGTCTAATTGTCTTTCTCTTCATTCTCTGCATAGGAGCTAGCTGTTTTCTCAAAGACAAAATTAACAGTATTCAGTTGGAGCTCTCTATCCCTGCTCCCCATCATTCCACATTACCTCGTTCCTCTTTTGACTCTGTCCTCCTTTACCTCTGTGTCCTCTGAGGCCTCCCAGGATTTTATTTTATTTTATTTTTTGCTTCAAACACCTGCACCACCTATTTGTATTTCTTAGTACTTGAATCCCTTAGTTTTTTCTATGTGTAGTTCAAACTGTCTTCTCTTGTGCACAACGCTGGTCTCACCTACACCTCAGTCCATATTTCCCCCAATCCCTCTTTTGCACCCTAAGCTCTGCTTTCCCTTGTCCCTCTGTCTGTTACTCCCACTTGTCACTCCCTGCCTTTTTACCTAATGACCACCCTATTCGAGAGTGCCAAACACTCTCCCACAGCTACAAATTCCTCCTCAAAACTCATTTTGCTGAGTAGCCTTCCACTGTTATCTTCCACTTCAGTGCCATCTGCCCTGCTCCCTTATGCTAACAAAATTAAATAGAAATGACCAAGACACACATGCAACACAACAGCTCATGTAATCTTTATTTGCTGTAATCCTGACCCTCTTTTTTCTTTCCTCTTCTCCCCCCCCCCCTCCCCAATTGCCTGTTTTATCCCTCTGCGTGTTATGTCTCAGTTAGATAGTAAGCTCCTCAGGAAAGCAACCTGGTCTTACATGTACAGCATCGTAGGGACACATAGTGCCTTTAAGAAATATGGCCTTAATTGCACTTCACTGCACTCACTCTAACATTTTTTGGTAGACTCAGAAGGATGATACTTCCAAATGAGTATTACATGAGCAACATTTTAATAGACCTGATTTTCAGTAAATGTTCTTGACAGTTGTATATCACTTACATAGATTTTCATACAGGATGCCCCATTGTAGAGTTATGGTGGTAAGCCTTAAAACTTGCTGATTTTTGCCTTAGGTGAATAGATATGGTTACTTCAGCATCTGTACTGAACCCTAACTTCCCAACAGTTGCTAACTGCAACACCTATGCCAGAGAGACCCAAATATTGAGACAGTTTATTTTATTAACAACGGCACCTGGCAAGACTTCGGAGGTGGCCACTGTTGAAAGTTTACTCTTGGTTTGTTCAGCAGTGTGACTTGTTATTTGTATGCTGTTTTAAATTAAAGCAACATATCAAAGTTTTACAAGGCCACCAGGTGAGCATGCTGCCAGAGATATGCATAGGAAGACCAATACTGAAGACCTGTGTTTGGTGGAATAAATAATCTATTTCCAGGCTAGTTAAGGCAAGGTTAATCAGAAATGAAAGAAGTGTGCCATCCTTTAAGTCTTTTGTAGTCACTCCTGCCCATACACTGAAAGTTTCTGAAGTGGGTTGACCACCTGCAATCCCTTTGCTCCTAGGCTCAAGAGAAGATGCTGTGGTGAAGAGCACTGTTCAGTGAAATTGAACAATTTATTTCCTTGGGTTGATGTGGGAAACAGCCATCATGTTTTCTTCAGATGTTAATTTTTGTCCTGCTCCCCCTGGTATCAGAACCATGCTGTCTAAAGTCTTGTTTAAACATGGTTGTTGCCAGCTGAGTTCTAGCAAAGGATCTCTTCATGTTGATTATGGAAACTTCTACACATAGGAGAGAGCCATGTTAAATGTGTTTTTCAACTATGGGTGTCTACATTTATAAAACATTTGTCTGTGTGAACAGAAAAAAAAAAGTGCTATTGCCCTGTCTTAGCTTAGGGGTTGGATCATTAACATAGTTTTAATGTTTTTTTTTTACTGACGTTTTTGAGTTCTCTGTGGGAGGATACATGTGAAATTATTGTAAGTATCACACTTGGGGACAAGGCCTTACTGCTATGAGCCCCATTTCAAAAGATGGAAACTGAAATAAGTGTAGGGGGCGGCTGGGGGGGGACGGACATAAAGAGCTTTTTCCAACCATTCTTAACATTGAAATGATCTGCCCTAAGGCATTCAGAGAGATGTGATTATTTTGATTTATACTGCATGAGCACATGAAAATTGTGGTCTCACTAGCTTTTTACGGATATAGGCTATGAAACCTTTTTTTCTTCACGTATTTATTTGTGTCAGCCTAAAAAGTACCTTCAAATAAATCCTCGCCAGAGAAGTTGATATGTTGAAGCCTCATTTAAATAAATCCTCTGTTTATTGAAGGAATAGGATCAGTTGAAGGAAAAATAAATCTGTGCTCCAGACTACATCACCAGAAAAAATCCTTCCAAAGGGTCTCTAGTAGTGTAGGAATCCCTAGGTAATGAACTGTCGGATAGGCTTATATAACTATATCTGTGGAATCTATACTGCAGTGCAATATTCTGTATAAAAACATCATCTTTTTTGAACAGCACAGTATTGTTAAATTCATTCTTGCACAGCAAAGAATCTCTGCCTAATTCTAATCTGAAGCCAAATTTTCATCTTGATATACTGAAGCACTTGGATTAGAATTGGAGAGCAGTAAGAGATTTGATTAGTTTTCTTGAGACTAATCAAGACTGGTTGATGAAAGACTGAATCAACTAGTTTCCTAGTGGACCAGGAAAAAAAATAATCAATGAGTACCAGTTCTTCCTTCATCAATCCTGCTTGCCTAAGTGCAAGATGTGAAAATTCCAGCAAACCTACTTCCGGAAATGTCCTCAAACAAACATAATGCCGCTGTAATAGGGAGAGAGCACTTTAAAAAGCACCAGTTCACGTTTGATCTGCCTTATCATTTGCTATCAACATTCCTTTCCTGTTTCTATAGGTGAGTTCAATTCAGAACCAAATGCAGTCCAAGGGAGGCTATGGAGGTGGCATGTCTGCAAATGTTCAGATGCAACTTGTAGATACAAAAGCAGGATAACCTTGGGGAAGCATTTCCAGTGAGTATTACAGACCTTCCAATGTTGTGTTACACAGTCTGGTATGGCCTTTTTATCACTGACACAGAATGCTAAAGGAGAATATCCTATAATGTAACATAAACAATTCTCTATAAATAACTCTACCCTTATGATACATTATTTTAAGCATGTTTCTGGGTAGTGGGCTCCATACAAGGAGAGTATTTATATAACCACGTATTTTGTATTATGTGATGAGCGATATGTTTAATAATTCAATACTGATTACAAACATGTTTAATTAAACTGATTTTACACCCATCTATCAAGATATTACTGTAGGGAGTTGGGGTTCTTTGTATGTTGGATGTCTTAGCAGCAGATGCAGGTTGCATACTAAATTTCATTGTAACTGTGAGTGGTATAATTAAATAGCACATTTAAGAGGAATGTTGCAGGAGTGCTGCATACTAAAATAAACATAATATGAAGGCTATTAAACAGATTAATGTTATATAGTGTTTAGAAAGCTGTCATGGTCATATTTTCAAAAGTCTTGCTTTTGTTTAACTTTCATTTTCTCTTTGTTTCACAGGTTCTTGTGAATTTCTGTATCTTCTTTCCTGTGTTCCCCCTTTTGCCCTGGTGACTGCTTTCTGTGTTCATGACAAGAGAGAAGTGATGGCTCATTGTTCACCCCTTGTGATTATTCCAGTGAAAGTTGCTGTTCTGCTCTGATGATGTCATTTGTCAGATTGGTCCTACCGTGCCTTTCAGTGGCATGCACACATTTGGCCTCTATCAAAACCATGGACATATAGCTGTTTAGGGTTTGGGGAGTTTTGTTTGTTTGTTTTGTTTTCCTTTTTTACATTTTTCAATATTAAGCAAATTAATGCTCCAGTTTTAGCTTGGTCATCTTTTTCTTTTCTTTCTGAAAGTGCTAGTGTGCAGCATTCTTCTTTTGCTGGGTCTCTTAATTTCCCGCTCCCCCTCTGTAATTTAGAAGTGAGTGAGTTCCTATTAATGTTTTTAATCTGTCATTGTTTATATATGTTTTTGAAAGGTCTGGGACCTGCAAGCACAATGATCATTTCATACATTTGAAAATCAGCAGAGTAGATGACCGCATGCTTTGTGAAGTTGCTTTGTATGGTGGCCTGTTTAGTGCCAGAAAAAAAAATGTTTGTTACTGCGGACTGATGATACTGTTGCTGATTAAAAGTTTAGCTGTGACACTGGGTCATGGCAGGCTCTGAAGAAGGACTTGTAACTTAGCTGCTTCAGAGTTATGTCTTAAGTTTTCATCCAACTGGTCCTGAAATAATAAAGAGTGAGCTTGCATTCATAAGGCATTTTGTTGTAAATGTTTAGTATATTTATTTTGAAAGAGCTGACCTCGAGATTGTAAACCAGTGTAGTACCGTATCTAAGTGTTGTGGTAGAGCTTTTTGTCTGTTTAAAAAAGCATCATCATGTTTGGCTGCTTTCTTTTTCTTTTTCCTTTTTTAATTTTGCTTAATTTTTAGGTTATATGGTCATTTCCAGTAGCAGCATGTCAAACTGCCTGCGATATTAGCTGAAGTTTAGTTGACCTCTCTAAGTAGTTGGCAGTTTCTGTGTACTAAATATTTAGGGGCCATGTAAGTTGCTAAGAGCAACATACTGATCTGGCAGAGCAGATGCCAGGGAAAACAACATACAGGGTGACTTTTTACTATGTCAGTAAGAAGCCTTTTGCTCAGGTTCCAAAGCATGTTCTTCTTTCACATGTTGTGAAAATTGTATTTTAATATTGCACTGTTCTCAGATTTTTCTGTAAATGGTCCTTTCCTTTTTTTCCTCCTTGTTGGTGATATGAAACAGAAGTCAATGGTTTGAATTCTAACTGACTTCAAAAAATTATGTGAAAAATCATCCTCAACTACATTTAACATTTTAACTAGCAAACTGGGCATAACTGAGCCTAATCAGATGAAAGCTAAAATAAATATACATAAAAACGTAAATGTGATACACTTAACAATTATTGTCCTCTCCTTTCTAGCCCCTCTCCTAATTTCCATTTCCATTTTGTGTTGAAACAGACCCCAGATTGGTATAAACACATACACATCTGCTTTTTTTCCTGGTACTAAACAAAAAGTCATATTCACACAAATATACTGGATATTGAGGCCATTGACTCTCTTCGGGAGTAGTAAAGTTGTAATCCGATGGTAGATGTAAATTATCTGGTTGGATAGTTCTGGTAAACTTGGATAGTCTTCACCGCTGGAGGTACTGATTCATGATGCCACAGGATTGAGATCTGTTCAGTTGTCTGGAGTGCATAAATACGACAGCACGGTGATTTGGGGTCAGCGTTTCACGTGCATCTTTATCAATGAGCCTTTAAATACTCTAGGGTTACAAAATGATTTTCACTTTTTGTTATCACTCTGCCAATTAATTTTAGTGAGCAGGTTTACCTTGCACTTGTCAAATGTCTTCAGCTCAGTAGCCAGAAAAAAAATTGACATATTTTTATAACAAACATACTTTTTTTGTACATTGTGTTCATTCTTGAATAAAGTCAGTTCAGTGTTGACTTGTAGATATTAAAAGGAAAGTATTGACTTTGATTCAATAAATGTTTTCTTTCAGTTGCTGGTTTACCTTTTTCTTTTTCAGAAATAATATAACAGTAATACTTACATTAGGAAAACACTTGTGTTCTGTAGACAATTTCATGGTTAGACTATCTGAGTATCAACCCTTTACTATAACAGAGAAAGCTAGTATTGTTCAGGTTAAATATTTCTGATTTCTCATGTCATGTCACCTTTTTTTGCCAAATGGAATTTTGACCCTTATTTTATAATGAATTTTGTTCCAGTAATAGGTCTGCTTGGGATCTGCTGAAAACACTGGGGTGCAAAAGTGGTTTTGCCCTTCCAGACACTGATTCATTACTGTTCACTTCTCCTAACAACTACAAACAGCAGAGCCAACCACTTGCTTTTGGATGCCTTTTGAAGCTTGGATTCTTCCCTCTTCTATGCTTCCCAGTTTTTCCTCTGCCTTCCCTAAAGACATAAAGGGACCATATGCTCTGAAGGCAGATGCCGAGGCCAGTCTGTGAAGGAATCAGCTGACTGTACCAGCTCTCCTCAGCCTTGCTTCTTTTCCCCTCCTGCCCTACCCCCATCATCTAACCCACACAGAGAGAGGATAGGACTGCCATATGAGCACTCATACTAGAAAGTTACTGCTTCTTTCCTGCCCCAGCACAGAGTTGGGACAATTAATTGTTCTCTTTAGAGCAGGTAAGTTGCTGATGATGCCCTCCTCCTGCACTTTCTAACAGGCCCTCTTGAGCCTGGGCTAATGGCCCTCCTGAACAAAGTTTAGAAAGAGGGGAAGACAGAATCTGAGTACCACAAAGATAACATTGATCTAGAGTGGTGTCATGATCTTGATGTTTAACCCAGGAAATTGTTCTAAACACCAGCTATGCAAGAGCAAATCAGGGATTTACATACATCTATTCATATCTGTGCATGTAAACAAATGCACTTTTAGAAATGTGGGACGTTGTCAGTCTTATGGGACGGCTGGACAGATCCCAACTATTAAAATTAAATTTGGTGACAGGAAGTGCAATAATGAGAATGTTTACATATTAATTGGATTTCTGCATTCCCAGACACCAAAATGATCTCTCTGGAGCAGGGATTGCTGCCCATGTGCCACAGCTATGCTGATTTTGAGGCACTAGCTCAAGTAGACCTAGTGTTTGTATGTCTGCCTGAGTTGGGATTCACAACTCCCAGCTGCTGCGTAAGCATACCTGAGGGCATTTCTATAGCTCCCATTCCTAGAGTGTCAAAGAGCTAAAAAGCCACATTCACCGCTGGGTCAGATTAATCAAAAAGAAAAAAAAAATCCTGGCCCCATTGAAGTCAATGGGAATTTTGCCATTGACCTCAGTGGTGCCATGATTTCTCCTATTGTATAGACTTTAAAAAAAAATGTTACTGAAACTCCAAGCCTGGTAAAATTGATAAATAATGAATGGGTTAATAACTTCAGTACAGGAAGTGTGGAAGAAATACAACAAGCTGGATTTTATTATGCTTACATGTTACACATCAAATACTTCTCAGTTGTGTATTTATGAAGTACCAGTCTTTCATTCCTACCAATATGACCAATTGAATCCAAGCAAATAGAATCCAGGGACAGGAGCCTCTGAGGGCAAACAGTAGAATGAGGAACAAAGCAGGTTTCAAAAAAGAGGAAATGTCTAAGGTGAGATTTTTTTCTAATGAAAATTTGGAGAAGAATAAGCCTGAGCAAAGACAGAAGGTGTGGAGGTGGTGTGAGAATTCGGCTCCTTGGATTTGAGTAGTGATTAGAGACTGGGGGTGAGGGGGAATGATGGGGGAGACAGGCAAGCTGGTTGGAGAATTAGTGGGTAGAGAGTGGATGAGGCAGTTACGGAATTGAAATGTTCTAAGGTGGGATTGAAGCATGATTGGAGCTATCTAGGCTAATCCAAAGAACAGAATGAATGGGCATTTAGTGGGAGAAGGGAAACAAGCATATAGTGAGGAGCCAGTAACACGGGAGAATTCTTTAAAAATGGAATTCCTCGTAATGTTTTCTCTTACCAAGTGGTGGCTGGTTCTTAATCCAAAAAGCAAAATCCTACACGCTTTGCAAACAACTTGGTGCAAACACTTAGTGATCTGAAGATGTCACCTTTCACATAATCTGGGTTCAAGATTCCAGTGATTCAAGCCTTGCAACCAAAATTTTTGAACATCGGAGCTTTTAAGTTAAGGAGTTAAAATCCATATGTAGGCATCTAAATAAGTGGCCTGATTTTTAGAGTCACTAAGTATAGACAACATTTATGGAAATCTATATAAGTAGAGGATGATCAGTACCTTTGGAAATCAAGCTACATATCTAAGTGTTCTCCGTACAAAAGTGTTGAACTTTAGGCACCTGGATTTGAATATTTTGGTCTAGGTTTACAGTTCAGATTTTTCAAAGGATCTTTCAAAAAATGTTTTAAAAGTAACCTTAAGCTGCCTCAAGATAGATGCATCTAAATATCTTTATTAATATTATTATCTTTAGACCTTTTAAAACAGGATACATTACATAGACAAACATAGAGGGAGAAGAAAATACAGAGAAATTTTTCAAAGGACTTAAAAAAAATTTAAAAAAAAAAGAGTATATTAGCGGAGGTTGCCTTCTAATAAAAGAGGAGCACAGCTGTACTCATTATGGCCCTGATCCTGCACCACAGAAGCCCATGGGAATTTTGCCATTGACTTCTGTGGGAGCAGGATCAGTCCCTCTTTGTGTGGACACTTGGGAGAGGACTGTAAAGACAGACGGTTGCATAATGAGGGGTGGTCTCTCGAACAGGTTTTACTCTATGTCCCTTAAGCCTGTTGTAGAATTTTACAGTTGTCATATAAGATTCTATGCATATTATTGTGGTGGTCAGCAGATAGAATTATATTTAAACATAAAACACACGCCTCAAGAAGGTGTCTGGGGTGTCATATGTTCCCTGGTCGCCACGTAAATAACTAAGTTAGCTGCTTATTTTAGTCAAAGTAATAGGATTGGAATAGCTAAGACTGAATTACTAGATATATTTTAATATAAAACTCAGAAAGAAAGAGAGCAACAGCAAAGACCCACTAAAATATCCAAAAGGATCAAAGCCTAAGGCTTGCCTGAAACGGGATTTTTTGGTACTATTTAAACTGGGGTGTGGAGGGAACTGCTTTTACTTGGTCTCTTCACAAAGGTCATCTCACTCTTAAGGACTAATTAAGAGTGTTTAGTTGTTTAGCACTGGATCTAAACACCATTTTTAAAAAAATCAACCAGTTTGACAGGCCCATTCCATTTTTGAAATGGGAAAGCATTACATTTTAGCTCTGTAATATGTATCACAAAATAAAGTCAGAACTGCAGCTGTGAGAACCATATAAAACTATTTTAATTTTATAAACAAAAGGCTTGTTTCTAAGCCTTGTTATGGTTGCTATGTGACAAAAACATACGGAACCATCACATAGTTTATAAAACCCAGTCACTTAAAAGCAAGAAAATTAATAATTAAGAAAATTCATAAATCTTACACTGTCTACATAATAAACATAAACCCATTATTCTTTCCCAGTACAAAGACACATAGCTTTCATCATGACACATTTTGTTATCTTGATTTCAGTATTTTCTTTTAGGGATAAAATAAATGGGAAATTAATATAATTCATTGACAACAGCATTTTTAATAGGACTTATGATTGCTGTTTCACGACAAAATTATTTGTTACTAGAAAAAGTACATAAAGCTGATTCCTGTTACAATTACTTATGTATGTTGACTTGGATTGAGGCTAATCAACGTGTTTATGAATATAGTAGTATCATCCACAAGCAGTCAGAATTACAAGTCATGCCCCCCAAACATATAAGATTGGGTTAAAAATCAGGAGAGCTATTTATTTACTTTTTAAATTGCCTTCTGGTTCGGAATCCATAGGTTGTCACATTTTTCAAGTTTTCTCCATGACCATAAGGGCCTAGAAACTTACTTTAAAAAAAAAAAAAGAAAGGCTAATAGTCTCATATGCCATGACTCCAAAAGCTGGAGCTTTAAGGAAAACACTTAAATATCCCAAGATTTGTGATACAATTGCAAGAACTGGCATCACTGTATGTGTAAACAGAGAAGAACTTGGTTGCTTTTTCATAAGAGGTTTGTGTTATGCTTATATTTTGAGATTTTTAATGAAAGAATATTCTCTTTTGATAAAATATGTATTTCTTTGTTCTGGATGAAAATCATGTGCATGTGTCTTATGTGGTCAGTGTAAGATTTATGAATTTCCGTAATTATTCATTTCCTTGCTTTTTCAGCAATTGGGTTTTGTAAATTTGTCATAGTTAAGTACATTGCTGTCTCTTAGCAACATTAACTGGTTATTGAAACATACTTCTTTAAGGAATTTCCCAGGGATTTTTTTAAAACATCCTCCATCACCCAGCCATAAGGAGGTAATGAACTCCTGTACTAGCATCTTACCAAATAAACAAGCTGAGACATACCTGGCAAGATATGCACATTTATTATGCAGCTAAGTTAGCTGCTTCCACTCCAAGCAATAGTAAAAAAAAACAGTTTTGGGAGGAATACTGCAATGAGTTAAATGTCAGAGCCAGGTCTCTGGGTTCCATAGGAAATACCTAACCCACTAGTGCCTTCCACTCAAGTCCCTGAAACTCACTCTATCTTAATACTCCATTTGAAAAATATGACTATACTGGTGCTTCACATTTTTCATCTGTAGATATCAAAGTGCTTTAGAAGGTGAGTAAGCATTCTTAGGCCAGTTAGCCTAAGTATGAAGTATTGAAGCACTGTTCTGAGGCATCAGTCTAGTGCTTCAGAGATCAGAGGGCTACTCCCAGCTTTGACACAAGCTTCCTGGTGCCTGTCATCTGGAAAATGGAGGTAATGAGACTACCCCTCTGTAACATCAACCCAGTGTGGTGTGAGGTCTCACTAAACAAGGGTTATCACATTCAGATATTTACTAAGGCTCTTCAGTGGAAAACTTGGGCC